ACAAAAAGTTGTGTGTCTGATTGGTCCAAATGCTACACTTGTTTTATTCTGATTTTTACTGCAGGACACCGAGCCAGAAGAAAATCATACAGAAGGGAATAAAGATGGGGATCGTAACCATCGTTGAAGATGACGTTGCGACCATCCACTCAAACTCAAATGTAAGGTGCCGGTCTGTGGTTCTAGAGGAGCATATCGTGCAAGACCTTCCCACTGCTATGGCTCTTCTCTTTGGCTTGATTTATGCCCTGAACATGAACTATCCTAAAGAACGGTTTATTGGTCTTGACCCCCAGTGCTCAGCAAGAGTCCAGTCCTTCAAAAACAAACTGTCAGTGTCTAAATAGCTGGATATGGATAAGGGAAAGCACTAAGCTGTTCCTGTTGTTCCATCTGATGTTTCCGTAAGTGTCAAAAGAGGAAATATTTTCAATTTTAATGTAATGAACCTTAAATGTTGTTTTTACAGTTGTAAAACTGGATTGCTCAAACACATTTGTTGCAATTTTTAGAATCCTGAAGTCTTGTTCATAGATATAGCACTTTAAGACTGTAAAATCACTTTAAAAGCATTCCAAGAAGAGAGGAAAGTGTTATTTTGCCTCTTAAGGGGCCTCAATGTGACATTGTGAATAAATATTTTCTGTAGTGATGGCATAGTCTTTTGTATTGTTTTACAGCATGGCTGAGAAATATGGATGCAAGATTATTCATAGCTAAATTAAAAGATGAAAAAGTTGAATCAACTTAAAAACAAGGCAACCAGCTGCAAAGCTTTGAGTTGACTGAACTTCATGCCCATGTAGTTGTGGCTACTTGTTTTTTAAAGTTCGCTCAACTCCCTTATCCAGCTTCACTGAACTTTCAAAAATGATTTGGCACAACTTCCACCACCGAAGTGGAGTAAACTCAAAAATGCTTTGCAGCTGGTTGCTTTATTTTTTTAAGTTGACAACTTTTTTTTTTTACAGTGTCTTATCCTTCTATATGTCTTTGAAAAAGAACTTTGTAACAAGTATTAAAATGAGTTCAATGTAGCTGTAGGAGTATTAAAAAAAACAAATAAAGATGATCATCTTCATTCAGTTGTTCCATTTCTATAGGTTTGGTAACAAAAGCTCTTAATTCCAAAGATAATACAAGCTAATCAGTGTATTC